GCCCAGAGGCAGTTTTGTCTAACAAAAATTAAGTTAGCAGATTTCTGCACTTCTAGATGATTGGATTTTGCCTGCACAAGAGAAGCTGTCTGGTTTTTTTCTCATATATATGGGGCAAATCAGCCTCTCTCTGAGATCAGCTTTAAGATAATAACCAGAACTGCAGCCGAGAGCTGGTTGCTGGAGACACTGGCAGGCTCCTTCTGGTGCACAAAAATGCCACAGGAATAGACAAGCCCTGACTTCCAGGATTGCATTTCACCCCAACCTCCATTTTTGTGGATTCTTTCAGAACCTAAGAAATTGTAACATGTGACAGCAATAAACCACTGAGAAATAAAGTATGATTTCCAATTGTTTGGGAAAAAGAAGGAAAGGATGCATCTACGTATTTCTTTAGTTTTTTTCCCCTTCTGTTCAATCATGTCTGGTTCTTAGAGACTTGGATAAGTCCCTGCAGTCTTCTTGGTAAGGTTTACAGGTTTGCCATTGCCTCTTTCCTAGGGCTGAAAGAAACTGACTGGCCCAAGATCACCCAGCTGGCTTTGTGCCTAAGATGGGACTAGAATTCTTGCCTGATGCCTTAACCACTACTGGCCCTAAAAGAAAGAAAAAAGGAAAAGGAAAAAAATGAAAAAACAAAATTTGCTCTTTGTCCCAAAATTCTAACACTCCCCTTTTGTGGTCCTGACCATTTAGTGATGTTGTCAGCATAACCTTTACAGCCCACAAAATGAATACATTAAGAGAATCTTCAGAGTGCATGACATCATGTACATATAGGTAGATCAGTGTTTCTCAATCTTAGCAACTTTAAGCTGTGTAAATTGCAACTCCCAAAATTCCCCAGCCATCATTGCAAATTGAATTGAGAGGTCACCCAGTGAGTTTCCACAATTTAGTCTGGATTAGTAACTTATAATACTTGAGAATGTGTAATGCAACCCATCATTAAGGAGCTAGAAGTAGCTTTTTTTTCCCATTCTTCTTTGTCCAGGTGATCTTGAATCCAATAATTGTGCAACTCCAAATGTTTTCAGAGACTGGTCCAAATCATTATTATTTGTATTAAATGTGCATGTTTTAATTTAACAGGAATCCTGGGATAAAACATTGGGCCATGGCAGATGTAGAAGGAAAGTAACAAAAAAAACCAAACCCATTCATATTAATGATTGAAGGACTATGATATCTGGAGTTGGCAAAAGGCCATAACAAAAGGATTGTTTCAAGAATGAAGTAGTACTGAAGTATGAATTGACAAAGGCAATTTTAGGCTGCATCAACTCAGTTTCAAATCACAGTGCCAGTTTATTCTGTCTTGGCTAAATCCTGCTTTGAATACTATGATCACTTCTGGATATTATGCCTTAAGAAGGATTCAGACAAACTAGAATAGATTTGGCAAAGAGCAATGAGGATGAACAGAAGATTGGAAAACAAGCACAGATGGAGGGAATTAGGTATTTTAACCTTGAAAAATAAAGAGTAAGGGGGTACTTTAAGTATCTGCTACAAGAAAGAACCATGGCCTGTTTTCTTTAATCATTCCAGAATAGAGAACCTGGAAAGATGGTTTTAAGTTACAAGAAGGCAAATTCCAGTTGAATAAAGATAATACTTCTAAGCAGTTAAGAGCAATTTGACAATAGAACTGATTGAAAGACATGGTGGAATTTTCTGTATTCTTGTTTAAGCAGAGGCTCAATAGCCATTGGCTATGCTTTAATTTGGATTCCAGCTCAGAGCAGTGAGTCAGCCTCAGTTATCTAATAGCTCCTCTAATTCCACAATTCTGGAATTATTTACAGATCTAAAGATGACCAGATTTGTTTTTATGTTTTTATTTCAAAATGCCATTGCCCCAGCCTGTAAAATTTAGTTAACAAATTTATTGCCATTTCATTCTATATTGTGCACAGTATTTTATATAAGTTTTATGGCTTAGAAAGAACTGCCATACTGCTTTTTTGAAACTGGAAACCTAGGTTACAAGAAACTTAGGTTTTAAGGATTCAAAATTGCAACAATTTCATTTTGGATGGCATAACCTAGAAAGCATGACACAAGCTTTCTATATGCTGGTGTTGAGGTGTGTCTATGCATGTGTCAAAATTGCAGTGTCTGAAACTTGGCTTTATAGCTTAATTGGTCACACAAACATCTGCTACTAACCATAATGACAAAACAAAAGCCAAATGATATTACAACACACATTTTGCACTTGACCCTCCCTGCAAACACCTATGGCTAGTAATTGGGCAAAGCTGGAGTGTTTGTGATTGTAGCAGAATGAAGCAACCAGAACTGGAAAAGCGAAGATTTGGATCTTTTACATTCCCAGCTCAGCCTTTCCCAACTTTACACCCATTTAGATCTGTAGTGATTGCATCTTCCAAAAATGCTGGAGGGAAATAGGCTGGATAAACCTGCTATGGCGTCTGCACACACTACACACAACTCAGCACATGATATCCCAGAGGGAATTTTCATAGACTCAATGACTGAATCACCCGTGAATAAGCATAACAAAGCTGTTGCCACCCGTCAATATCTATCTGCCTAATTCTCATATTGAGTTGTGGCTTTGATTTAAAGATATTTTTTTTCTGCAAATTCTCCTATAAAGTACAAAAAAAACATTTTGTTTTGTTTTGATCTTTTCTTTTTTTTAAAAAAAAAAAGAAATTTATTGTGGTTATTTTCACCTACTGCTGGACAAGTGTACAAATGTAAACCATTTACATACCAATGTGTTGAGCATTAAATTTATAATCCATCCCTGGTTTTAACATTATCACTGTCCTTTTTAGTGTGCAGGTGAGTGAGAAAAAAGTTATTAAATCATATTCACAGAATATACATGGTCGTGCAATCAAGAAGTCACCAGCTCTAAGCCAGCGGTATAGACACTGTCCCATTAGCTCTACTCCTGCTCCTGAAGTGAATGTTTGAATCAGCAATGTCTTCTGCATGTTCTTCACTTTTCTTCTCTTTTAAGTTGTTAATGAATCTCAGTGTAATTTCATCCCATTCTTCAGGAAGAAGCATTAGCAGGAACCCAAGGCAAATGAAGATGGTGGCTCCCAATCTGACCACACTAAAAATCACCTCACGTTTGAGGAGATCAACAGCTGCAGGAAAAAAAAATGAAGAGAGACTGAATCAAACTATCCTTCCTCCATCTGTCAACTCAACTATGGGGAAGGAAGACAAAAGGAGTGACCATTTGAATCTGGGTTCAAAAATTTCCAATCTAGTTAGGTTATTGTTGGACGGTGTCTGTCATTTTTGCTGGCCACCATCAGTCAGAGGAAAAACAGACTGCATGGCTGCCCTCCCTGAATGTTTTAACAGTTTCCCCAAGAATTGGAACTCAGCAGAAGAATCTTTGACTGACTTGTGGGTCCCTAATCCAGTTTCCCTTTTCATTCTCTCACATTGGATCTGCAGTTTAGGACACACTGATACCACCATCAATTTTGTTCACCTGAAATCACAGCAGTGATAGAATATGACAGGATAGAATATGGAGTGTCCAGGAATTACTAGTTAGAGTTAAGATAAAAGTCTGCCTGTGTTACAGAAATCTCTTCTTCCCACCAGATGACCACTGTGGAACATTCATGGGCATTCTGACTTCTTGGAGCTCCAACCTACGAAGATCAGGAGGCAGTTAAATAGCTAAGCAGGCTATGAAAATCAGTTTGGCTAAGGAACAGGCAAAAACACCTCTCAGCCAATTGATGAGACTCGGCTGTTACATCTTCCAAGAACTTTAGAGGCTAATGGGCATAGATCAAAGTCAAAGAAGCAAACAGCCACATGAGTTTTATGTAGTGCTTGAGAGTAATTAGTTAAAGCTTGGTTTCTGTCTCCACTAGAATTTGCATATGTTCTGAAGAAGTGTATATCTAATTAAAACCACTCTCAGCATCTCTCAGAATGTTCTCTGCTTGTCCTGATTAATCTAGATTCCTTTTGCACCAGGATGGCAATCCTTTCTCTGTGCTATTCCTTGGGGAAAAAAAATTATGAAGAATCTAGTGTTTCCTCTGAAGAAGTACTGGAGATCTATTCAAGCACTGCAGAAGAAACTAATAAATGCATTTATCAGTATACATTTTAAAAAACCCATTGCAATCCATCATTTGTACCTGCATTGCCAGGAACACTGAGTACTGTTCCAATCGATATTAAGATTGGATATGTAAGGACAACACCAACATTCACCAAAATGTTGAAAGCTATGAAAGAAAAAAGAAAAGGAGAAAGTGAAGACATCTCTTGCACAATAATTAGATCTCAACATGCAAGGTTGAAATTAACTCATTTAAATCCCAATAAATTTATCCAAACCATCCTCTTTTTGTATAACCCAGAATTTGATCTTCAGGTGTATGTATGTACGTGTGTGTATGTGTGTGTGTGTGTGTGTGTGCGTGTGTTGTGTATTAAGAAATACTGAATTATAGTATATAATACTACTGAATTTGTAACTTCTAAGTAAAACAGGTGGAGGTGGTTAGTGCACTAACAGAGAAGGCACCCCACCTCTCCCCTCCAAACCCTTGTTTTTTAATTTGTTTTAATTTTTCTAATTTTCATCTGTGTGTGTGTGTGTGTGTGTAATGTCAGATGTTTGTCTTTTTTATTTTGCTATAAGATGCTTAGAGGCTTCTTGAATCATGAGATGGGCAATAAATACATTTGATTAATGATGATGATGATGATGATGATGATGATGATGATAATAATAATAATAATTTTTCTCCTCTAAAATTCTCTCCTATTTGAAAAGAAATCCAGAAATGTATGTAGTTGCATTTAATGAAAAGGCCAGATTTTCTTATAAACTGGCCAAGAGTAAATTAAAATCATCCAAAGATTCTACTGCAAATAAAGTTGACAGAAGCACTGGGATACTGAAACATTTGCTCAGACACATACCCAACCAGAGACCTGCAATTCCACACAGAAAGCCCCACGGCACAGCTGAAAAAGGTGACCAGTATTCCACTTTTGTAAAGTACAAAATGATGGGAGTGATGGAAAGGAAAATCAAGTTGAAGAAGCCAAGGGTAGAGATGAAGTGAGCAGCTTCACCGAAGTTGGCAGTTCCAAGAAACATCTTAAACAAAACCTAAAAAGAAGAAAGGAGAACAGTTGAGAATACCATGAGGTGTCTATGGAGCTTCTCAGCCATCCAGGTCATAATTGTCTCAAAGGTGCTTTTTCAAGAGGCAACTGGACTTTCTTGTTCTTCTTTGAAGATGTTTCACTTCTCATCCAAGAAGCTTCTTCAACAGAAATGCAGAAATGCTCTCAGTGAAACTATATGGCAGGGATTCATTGTTGGAAAGTCTAGGTTCAGCTATCCATTTTCTGTGTAGCTCTGGATGAGTTGGATTTACAAAGACTGTTCTTCAGATTCATCTTTGGCCCTACACTTTCTCACATGTTTCCATAATGATGATCACTGGATCTTAGGGGATTAAGAAAAGGGCTCTTTATTACACAATGGGAAGCCTCAAAGGAAAACCACATATCCCAATGCGTTTTTTAAAATCTTTCTTCAACAGAGAAAAAAATAAAAGGAGTGATACATGAATGGGTCAAATAGTAAGATCCCATGTAGCAAAAAAAAAAAAAAAAGTTTGTCAAAACACCTGCATACTCTGTAAGAAGATTGGACAATTTGTTCCATTCAGTTCTCAGGATTTGTAGCAGGAATGTACAATGGTACTATGTGAAACTCATTAATCTCTTGCACATGTGTTATGTCATACTGAAGTCCATGGCTCACAGATCACTTGCCTGAGACAAAGACAAGATGAAAATAATTGAATTACTTTTATCATCTCCAACCTGGTACCAAAGACTTTGCCAGCTTGGAGTTATTGAAGATGTAGTCCAATCCACCTTGAAAACCCAGAAAGGGTCTGCTAAAGAATTATGTGACATGCACATAACAACGCCAAAACAATGTTTTCTCCAACCACCTCAACTTGAAGTGAGTTGTTCTCATCATATCTGGTCACTGGAGTAATTAACTTTTAGTATTATCAATTAAATGTGCTTATATATAGCATCTAGTTTGGGCCTCAGGGATGGCAACAGCCAAGAGCGTCTCTTATGCTTATTAAGTTGGCAATGAGCCTATTGAAATGTGATCAAGAAATGCTGCTGTGTTATTTATATCTACATCCATCTCTAAGAGGGCTGAAAGTTTGATTTTGTGCATTATCTTTACTGATATTGAGCACTCTGAGCTGTATTCAAAAGGGACACACATGCAGGATTTTGGCAACTGTTATTTATAGCTTGCTAATCTCAATGACTGCTTACTGCAGAGTGCTTTTCATGAGCTGCCTCTGAAAAGCCTTCTGAATTTTCAAATGGTAATAAGATTGTGGCAGGACTATGGAGTCCTTGGTATTCTCTGAGCTTGGTCATTTGCGGATATTTCATTACCAGACTAGATACTAGTGCTAAAAGGGAGTGGGATTTGCTTTCTATTTATGTACAGTAGCTTGCCCTGCCAGTGTTTATGGGTGTGTAGTTTTCTGCTGGGTAGTTCTTTGATTAGGATACAGGTATATATTTGCTTTTAATGAATTGACTGGGTGTGCATTTTCTTTTTATTTACGGTTTTAAAATCTACGATAAATCAATTAGTATAACCTAGTAAAAAAGCAGAATGGAAATTATTTGTCACTATTTAGGCCATGATCCTAAAACAGTTGGGACTACATCATGAATTTTCATTTGGTGAAGGGCATTTTTTTCCCTTCTTTTTAAGAGGGCAATTTTAGAGTTTATGTCAAGTTTTGTGTGTGCACTGGCTTGAAATGGCAGAAAACTATGAAGTCAATTTTGGATAGTTATACCCTGAAATCAAATGAATTTCTGAGGAGCACAAGAATGGAGCTGACCTCCTACAGGCTGAATTAACTCACCTTTATTTTAGAAGAAAGAGTTCTGATTTATACTAAAAAGTAATTGGATAGATTAGTAAGACAAAGAATCATTAAGAAATCCCAAGATCTCCTGGGGAATCTCAGCAGAGAGATCACTCCTGAACACCCCCCCCCTTTCATTGAAAATAGCGTCCTTAGCTTTCAATATTTTCTTCTGCTTGTGTGTCACAGTTGAATTTCATGAAACAGTGGCACATAAAATAAAAGGAAACTCATGATTGCTAATCTTGCTGTTGTGGAATAATGGAGATTTCATTAAGACTTGATAAAGGGAAGCCAAGCTGAATCCTTGGAGGCCACCACATAATTATCTGGCTTTAACTTTCTTCCAGTGCACATTGCTCAGAATGTGAATTAAGCAACCATGAGCATTGTTTTAAACCCATCTTGCTTTGTTTTTCTATGCATGCATTTAAAAAGGATTAAATGGTAAGAAAATGACCTACCTTATATAGCGCAGAGGTCGAGGCAGATCCAACTGCATAGGCAACCCCAATAATTGAATCGCCATGGAAACCATCTGCATAGGCCATCATAACAATTCCAGTGATGGCCATTATTGTGGCAACTATCTGTGCAATCCAAAAGGAAAGACATGTAGAAGGACTTTATTATCTGGAAAGAACCATGATGAGATGAGTGTTGTGTGTAAGAGAGATTAAAATGACTTGGGGACATGGAATGACAACATTAACACTATAACAGTCATACAGGTTATGTATTTCCCAGAGATACAGCAACCTTGTTCTCTTTTCTTGAAAATCGAAAGGATTATTTCTTAGATTACTTTAGACTGAAGCCCATTTAGGCAGAATTGCTTCAAGAACAGACTAGTTTGTTTCACAAGTTGACAGCCATAAAGTTTGCTTGGTCACTGTTGTGTAGTCAGAGAAATTATAGCTCTAGGGAGTAAGAGTCAAAAACATAAAGACAGGGTTCATTCATCAGCAAAAAGCAACAGTGGAATAAACTTAAACTCATTTCTCATGACGAGTACAAACAGACTGAAAAAAGTACCGAATTCCAATGATTCCAATGCTATGTTAAATGAGTTTTCCCAATATTTTGGGAGAGTCTTTCTCAACTTTTAGGATGTATGGACTTCAACTCCCAGAATTCCCCAGCCATCACTGCTAGCTGGGGATTTCTGGGATTTGAAGTCCACACATCTTAAAGCTGCTAAGGTTGAAAGACACTCCTAGAATTCTGAACAGGCAGAGCCATTATCTGTGCGGGCTGAGAATTCTGGGACTTGTCATCTGGTGCAATGTTCAGGTTGAGGAAGCAGGCATGAAACCACAATTTAATAGTATATGAGTGACCAAATTTCAGCTAATTGTGCTACTAGAGATGTTACCAGTTGGGTAATCAATATCTGCAAGCAAATAACTAAACTCGGAGAGCACCAAGGACTCCACAGCCAGTTCTACTTCCCCAACTCAATGAGTTTATATCACACTGGGATCGTACAGCATACTAGAGGATGCTAAAATGAAGTTGGGTAGTTTGTATTGTATAGTAGTTCAGTATGTAATGAGGACCGAGTTACAAACTTAGTATGTTATGTGTTTCTTAGACATAGCATATTCTATGTGTTCTATTAACCCAGTTTTAGAATTCAATATATTCTGTGAATTCACCCAAAGAGTGCCGACCAGTAAATCAAATTCAATATAATAGGGCTTCTGTGTTAATAATTCAAAGGCTCACACTCAATTAAACCCAATAGTGATGGCAATGATTTTTAAAACAAAACTTGGATAAGCTACTGCAGAAAGCTGAAATGGCAGCCTGTCTCTGCTTCCCTTTACTGAACCCAGCTCCTGCTACCTGTCATCATTTTATTTCTCACAGAAATCCAAGGGGGGGGGGAATCATAAGGAAGGTTTTTAAAAAATCTCTAGAAAACCTCACTGCCACCGTTATCCCCCCCTCTCTCCCTCACTCCCTCCCTCCCTCCCTATTTTCTCCCAGTTTCTATTTAGAAAGTTTTGCTGCATACTGCCTAATGCAATGCTTCTGTAATCTCAAAAGTAAGACTTTAATACCCCAATTTCATGTCAAACAGTGATATTAGAGCTGTTAGTGCTATTTACCTGTAGTTTATCTATCAAACCTATAAAACACTCTTAAATCATTTTTCGGCTTGATAAAAACCTTTGTATTTTATACAATAGATGATATTTTGGAAATACTGAAGGATGTATGAAACAGCTTATAAATTGGCAAGCAAATATTACTTTCAGTCTTCAAAAGAAAGATCCAGCTTTAGATACTTGCACACAAATGATTCTTATTACAGTAATACACCAGCGCTAAAATAATCTTTAAAGCCTGCTATGTATTTTACCTCCCAGCACCAGTTATTAAAATTTATACTTCAAATTAGAATTTGCTTTTACTAATTAATTAACTGCAGGTTTTGTTGATCAATCCACTGATGAAACCAAGTCAAGCTTGTCCAAGTTACTTTGCTCTTTAATTAACACTCTTATGAATTAGATGAAGGGGATACGGAAATGTAAGGTTTGCACTATGAGCTGAAGGAATGTATTTCATATGCAGAAGGAACATATTTTCTTGAATTCTGATAAAGAATGACTGGAATAAAAGCAGGTCCTTGTGTTTCACTTTCTTCTTCCACAAGCAGATTGCCCTCATAACAAAACATGGATTATGTTAATAATCCAAACCACAGAGTGTCATACCTAAAGAGCAAGTGAGAAAGATGTAGCAAGTTCTTGAAAGCTGCTACATGTCAGGTGGGTTAAGAAATGGAATTAAAAGAGGCAGAAATAACTCATTTCAGTGGAGCCCAACAAATTTAAGCTGTTGTCTTCAATTTAAAAATTCCTGCTGCTATTGTCCCATCCTGGTAAATTATGTTCCATGAACCTGGAAGCACTTTTGTGCCCTACAAATGCTTCACCTTTGGGGAATGCAAAGCATGTTACTTTCAATGTCAAGTTACACATTCTTGTGTAAGAATTTTGGGCTCAATGCTAGTTTATAATTCCCCACCTAGCCAGTTTCCAGATGGAGATCCATTGAACAGATTGGCAGGTTTATTTTGGAAAGTCCTCTGAGTACAACTTGTAGGCACTTTCCTGAACATGGCAAATACTGCCCTTAGTTTATAATTATAATTCATTGTGATGTGCACTACACAAAACAGTAGTGGAGGCATGGGCTGTCTTCATATAGAAAATTACCTCTTCAGTTGCTTCTACATGTGAAGAAGTTGAGGGGGAACTTTCTCACTTTGAGAATGTGGGTGCATTTATTTATTGGCCTTAGGAGCTGCTCCATTCAATAAAAAACATAGTAAAGTGTGTCCATAATACTTGTTTCCACACGTGGGGGCTTTTTTTTTTGTTCATTGAATTGATACTTTGCACATACATACTTAAGCACTTCCCCCTTTTTTGTGTGTGCCTGAGTAATTGTTGTCTTCTGTCGACTGCCAGAATTATCGTATTTTCCGGCGTATAAGACGACTTTCTAAACCATGAAAATCTTCTCAAAAGTCGGGGGTCATCTTATACGCCCAGTCGTCTTATATGCCGGAAAATACCGTATTTTCCGGCATATAAGACAACTTTCTACCATGAAAATCTTCTCAAAAGTCGGAGGTCATCTTATATGCCCAGTCGTCTTATACGCCGGAAAATACGGTAATTCCTGCAGTTTTCTTGGCAAGATTTTTCAGAAGTGGTTTTCTGTTGTCTCCTTGCTAGGACTCAGAGAAAGTATCTGGCCCAAAGTCTCCCACCTGGGTTCATGTGTAAGGTGAGGTTTGTAGCCCAGTGGCTACAAACTGGAGCATTAACCACTATACCAAATTGTCTATCTTGTCTGTCCCTAATTGCCTAGAAATCAACTAATAGAAGTAATATAGATACACATTCATTCATTCATTCATTTATATCTCGCCTTTATTATTTTCACAAACAACTCAAGGTGGCAAACCTATCGAACACACCTTTCTCCTCCTATTTTCCCCATAACAACAACCATCCTGTGAGGTGAGTTGGGATGACAAGACAGTGATGTCCTGAGGTCACCCAGCTGGCTTTCATGGCTAAAGTAGGACTTGAACCCACGGTCTCTTGCTTTCTAGTCTGGTACCTTATCCACTAGATCAAAATGGCTCTCTTATTAATGATTAATAAAATAACGATTATAAGTCTAATTCTGAACAATGTCCAAGACAGATCATCAGTCCTATATGGATCTATTTGGGATTACTGTGCACTCAAATCGCTAACCAGGAGCTTTGAGACGGGAGAAGTCTGAGAAAGTGAGTAGCTAACTTTAAGTGCCTCAGCCTGCCAGGAAGATCATAGCTCAGAGCTTTTGCTTTGCATATGAAAAATCTTAGCTCAGCCCAGGTATACCCAGATAAAATGGTAAAATCCAGTTAGCCCAGGGGATCCAATGATTAAATATGAAAGTTGTCAAGATTAGATTCTTAGCCTTTAACTGAGAATGCCCACCAATGCAAAAGGCCTTCTGTCAATTTGATCAGAGGCTGCCTCCCAAAAATAAATGGATTACTAGAGAACTATATATAATAGCCCAATCACAAACAAATTCTACTGATACCACAACACAACACAACAAATATTTGGAGAGGACCGATCCTGTTTTGTTTTAATCAATAACCTCAATCAAAGATTTACTTTGGCACTGATTTGGATATTGTTAGAATTTTTTCCCCATTCCACTGGATATTATTACTTGATATGATTCAATTACTGAAATAGTGCTAGAAAAAAATGGAGCTAAAATGATGGTCCATGCAGACAAGATTAATATAATTGGCAACAGCCGCTTTGTATTCAGATACTGAAAGTAAAGATGCCCTGAACCTAAATTCAACGACACCAAAATGGTTTCCAACTGATTTCCCAGTCTAGAAAATAGCTCTGGAATTCCCATGTAATAACCAGGGCCAGCCTGCCTTAGCTTTTGAGATCAACGAAAAGTGACTATTTGCTGACTTTTAATATGTATTACGGTGCTTAAAGAGAATGTTGGCTAGGACTCCCCAAAAGTGGGTATTATATTTTCATGCTATACTTGGGAAAGCAAGAAGATGATCCTCTTATAGGTCTGCAACCGCAATTATATCTGGCAGATTTAAAGAACAGTCTTTTCTCAATGAAATATGAGCCCTGCCACCCAAGGCTTTCCTGATATCAGTAAGCATTTATAGTAATGTAATTCTTGATTTGACTTGCACATATTACTTCATTTAGTTGTTTTATCGTAGAAAGCAACTTATATGCCCATCTTCCCACCCAAAACATTCCACTCACCAACATTATTTCCCCTCAGCCCTTTCAGCCAAGTCTTCTTTAAAATGCACCTTTATTTTAATCTCTGCTGGAGAATTCAGCTGAAGAGAATTTGCAGAGGGAAAGTGCTTTTCCTTCAAGTGAACTTAGTGGACAAGAGACTAGTCTTTCCTTCTCACCCATCCTGACATTCTTAATATAGTAACCTTGAGTACCAATTCTCATTATTTATAATGCTCTTGTTTGCCAGTTAAAGACAGAAAGTCCTTCTC